CTGGTGCCCAAAAGATTTGAGGACCTCTGACGTACAGTCTTGCAACTATGTTCACAAGGAAGCAGTGGTGAATTGCCCAGAATTTGAAAAAAAAACAAAAAAAAACCTCAACCCAACAGTCCTGGTATGGTGGAATTCCAGTTCCCCTTTCTTCCTCAACTGAATATTTTCGTGTTCCAATATTCATTTTTCTTTCCCTCCACCCATCTCTTTTCTCCTCTCCCACCCACCCACCCTCATTTTATTTCGTTTCCCCAGAAAAGGAAACACTCAGCTTGGCTTCTTCCTCTCCCTTGAACTGGTTTAATGAAGAGAAGGACGAGGGGTGACATGAAAGCAGTCTTCCAATATTTGAGGGGTTGCCACAAAAAAAGGGGGGGTCGACCTATTCTCCAAAGCACCAGGAGGCAGGACAAGAAGCAACAGATGGAAACTAATCTAGGAGAGAACCAATCTGGAACTAAGGAAGAATTTCCTGACAATGAGAACAATTAATCAGTGGAACGACTTGCCTCCAGAAGCTGTGGGTGCCCCATCACTGGAGGTTTTTAAGACAAAATCAGAGAATTGTCTGAAACGGTATAGGATCTTCTGCTTGAGCAGGGGGCTGAACTAGAAGACCTCCAAGGTCCCTTCCAACTCTGTTGTTCTGTTATTCTGGTAGTGGTCCTCTGCACCACTTTGATGTTGATGGAACCACAGTGTCCCCTGCTGGAACGAGACCCATCTTCATCTCCTCCTTGCTTGAGGACCAATAAAAAAAAATCAGCCCCAGGTTTAATAAGCAGCAGTATATTCATAGAACAGAATCCAAAATGCGGAGGGCAGGGAGAGGCTGAAGGCATCAAGTCCAAATGTCTCCCTCCATGAGAAACTCAAGTTCAAGAAATTCACAGCTGTCTCCTCTCAACTCATCCGGGAAAGGAGAGCCAGAGTTCTTGTCCTACTTTCTCACGGCTAAACTTTCCCAGCTCCCGTCCTCTCTATTTCTGTAGGGCTACGCTGCCAGTTCCACGGTCATCTTCTTTTGGAGTGGTTCACACTTCGCTTGAACCCATCTGGATCCCGCCCAGAACTGGATATGGACCTCAGGGTGAGATCTGACCCCTTAAGAATGAAATGGAGGTGTTCCTTCTAAAGATGTGGAAATAACACTTCCACGGGAACCATCAAAAATGGTGCTCATGTTGCTGGCAACCATCACTCACTCATCGGCCTGTCACATTGCGACCAGCTACAGTTCCTCGGTCGTCTTCATGCACGTCGGATAAACCTCACTCATATCTGAATTCTTCACCTAGTTAAATTATGGGAGCAGACGCAGCCTTGGCCACATGAACATCTGCTATATATACTGCACGAGAGTTGCATTTCTCAGGATGAAATCCTGAGAACTTAGTCCAGGGGTAGGCAACCTTGGCTCTTGTATGACTCGTGGACTTCAACTCCCAGAATTCCTGAGCCAGCATGGCTCAGCTTGGAAACCTCTCCCTTTCCCCTCAGCATGGCTGACTCAGGAATTCTGGGAGTTGAAGTCCACGAGTCACAAAAGAGCCAAGGTTGCCTACCCCTGCTCTAGAGGGAACGTTAGAGGATTCCAGAACATACTTAGCAGCCGGGAGAGGTGAGGAGGAGTAGCCAGCTTGGGAGGGTTTTGAGAAAGGGAGTAAAATGTCAACCAAATTGACGTAGTTGGTAAAAATCAGCCAAGTCACTGGTGACAAATAAGGGATAACTTCAAGTGGGAATCCCACAAACAGAAGAGAGGATGTCTCTCTGATTTGGGCCCAGACATTTTTCCTCATTTCTTGCCCAAGGCAGCTTCAATCCACCCCAGTGGCTCATTTTCTCAATACAGGTAGTCCTTAACTTATGACTTATAACTGGATGATAAGCACAGTCATAAAGACCATGCTGGACAAGCATCCAACTCTTTAGCAGCTTTTATTTTTCTGTTATAACCGGTGTATGGAGGACACTCTGAGACGACAGCCTCTGTTCCCAGTCAGCCATCCAACAAGCAAAGTCAATGGGGGAAAAGCCAGATTTGCTTAACGACCGCACTGATTGACTTAACGATGGGAGTGATTCACTTGGCAACCAAAGCAAAAAGGTTGTAAAAGGAGAAGCAACTCGCTTAACCACTGCTTTGCTAAGCAACAGAAATGTTGGGGTCTGTTGTAGTCATAAGTCAAGGACCAATTGTAATTATTCTTCTTGAGGCTCCACCATCACCAAGCCTTTAGAGCAGAGGTCCCCAACCTTTTGGGCACCAGGAACCGGTTTCATGGAGAGAGGCTTTTCCACGGACCGGAAAATGTGTGGTTTTGTGTGCTGCCTGCATCCTGCAGATGGGGCTTTGCTTGTTTGTGCGGACTGGTTGCTGGCATGCCGCAGCCCGGTACCGGTCCACGGACCGGGGGTTGGGGACCCCTGCTTTAGAGGCCTCCTGACTCCACAATTTCCCCTTCCAGATGCGTCTGAACTGTGGGATTCTTCTCATTCCAGACTATTTCCCCAACCAACTTTTTTTAAAAACAAAAACCTAGGTGAAACTTGGCTTAATGCCAGTAATTGTGAGAGGGTCTTGGAGTCCTAGTGGACAATCCCTTAAATATGAGTCGACTGTGTGCCAATGCAATCCTAGGTTGCATTAACAGAGGGATAGAATCAAGTTCATGTGAAGTGTTAATACCACTTTACAATGCCTTGGTAAGGCCACACTTGGAATACTTCATCCAGTTTTGGTCACCACGATGTAAAAAAGATGTTGGGACTCTAGAAAGAGTGCAGAGAAGAGCAACAAAGATGATTAGGGGACTGGAGGCTAAAACATATAAGGAACGGTTGCTGGAATTGGGTATGTCTAGTTTAATGAAGAGAAGGACGAGCGGTGACATGATAGCAGTGTTCCAGTATCTCAGGGGCTGCCCCAAAGGAGTCAAGCTATTCCCCAACGCACCTGAGGGCAGGACAAGAAGCAACGGATGGAAACTAACCAAAAATAGAAGCAACCTGGAACTAAGGAAAAACTTCCTGACAGTTAAAACAATTAACCAGTGGAACAACCTGCCTCCAGAAGCGGTGAATGCTCCAACACTGGAAGTTTTTAAGAAGAGACTGGACAGCCATTTGTCTGAAATGGTATAGGGTCTCCTGCCTGAGCAGGGGGTCGGACTAGATGACCTCCAAGGTCCCTTCCAACTTTATTATTATTATTATTATTATTATTATTATTATTATTATTATTATTATTATTATTATTATTATTATTATTATTATTATTATTGATCATCGCACAGTCAGCCAGATGTTCAGACTGGATTTCTCATTTTTATCTACCTATCGAGTCCTTCCCAAGGACCTGGGATAGGCAGATGTGGATGTTTGATGGTATTACAGATCTCGTCGCAGGATGGAAGTAGTTCCTAGTAAGGCTGCCTTTTGCAATTGACTAATGGTGAATTTGTCAATGCCAATGGTGTTCAAGTGGTGCTCCAGTTGTTTTGGGATTGCACCCAAGGCGCCTATTACTATTGGTACTACCCTTGCTTGCCTTTGCCACAGTCTTTCTATTTCTGTTTGTAGGTCTTTGTATTTTGTTATCTTCTCCAGTTCTTTCTCGTCTATTCTGCTGTCTCCAGGCACTGCCATTATCAAGTTTTTATTATTAAATTTGATTATTATTAAGTTTTATTATTATTAAGTTTTATTATTATTAAGTTTTATTATTATTAAGTTTTATTATTATTATTAAGTTTTTAAGAAGAGATTGGACAACCATTTGTCTGAAATGGTACAGAGCAGTGGTGGCGAACCTATGGCACACGTGCCAGAGGCGGCACTCGGAGCCCTCTCTGTGGGCACATATGCCATGCCCCAGAGATGGCAACCATCTCTCTTCAACCAGCCACCCGCTAACTCGCCGAGGTCCCATGTGGCTGGATGCATCCCAGCACCCATGCGCTCGCTGGTCTCTGTGTGCGGGGGCCAATGTTGTCAGGCAGCTGCCGCCCCGGCCCCTGCCTCACCTTGCCCTGTGATAATGGAACCCCCGCCCTGCCTTGCCTTGCCTCATCCCACAGGACGAGCCTCCTGCCCACCGCCCCACCTGCCAGAGACCCCCTGGATCTCCCCCAACCCTGCCAGGCCCCCACAACAACATTGAGGTGATCACGGCCACCTTGGCCACACCCACCCAGTCTGCCATGACCACAGCCCCGCCCAACCAGTGGGCCACGCCCACCTGGCACCCGGCGATAAATAAGTGGGTTTTGGGTTGCAGTTTGGGCACTCGGGCTCTAAAAGGTTCGCCATCACTGTTCTAGAGTCTCCTGCTTGAGCAGGGGGTTAGACTAGAAGACCTCCCTTCTAGTCCCTTCCCAGAGTATTATTCTGTGTTCGATGTTCTGTTCAGTCCTCAGCCCAAAGCAAAGACAGGGTGGAAATACTTTAATAAATAAAACATCCAGCCCTCCCGGTGCAGTTTAACAATCATCAAGGTCAGAACTGTGAAAACAACAGCAGCAGCAGCAGCAACAAAATAATGGGCTGTCACCAAAGTCATAATAAATTATAAGAAAATAAAGGTTAAAGGTCGGCTGTTTCTTCTCTTTTTACAGAAGGGTTTCAGATTCACCGAGGAGCTCGTCTCTTCTCTTCTGCAGAACGGAACGTGGATCTTCGCTCAACGGAGGAGTTACCACACCTTTTCTGCTCTCCTGTACAGCACACCCCAAAGAAAAGAAAAAGCTTCACGTTCTGTTGGGTTCATATCGAAAAAAAACAAAAAAAAGAGAGAGAAATATCCTGGTGGAAAGAAGAGACCAAAACAAATGCCATATAACTTCCTCCATCTTTAAGGTGGAGAGAGCCATTACCAGCTTCTCGTGACGTTCCTGAGCCTGGAATTTGAAAGCCAAAAGTGGTTCCCCTGGCATGGCCGGTTGGCTGGCAATCCCTTCACCTGCTGAGCTTCTCCATGCCTCCAAGGGCACCTCAGCAGGTCCTCATGAGTTGGACTCTTCCTGGGTTGATCGTGGCAATAGGTGTTCACTTGGGATCTCGACCAGGTATCTGTAGGACAGCCCCACCATGATCTGCAGGGAAGAGACAGATAGGTAAGGCCACACTTGGAATGCTGCATCCAGTTTTGGTCACCACGATGTAAAAAAAGATGCTGAGACTCTGGAAAGAGTACAGAGAAGAGCAACAAAGATGATTAGGGGACTGGAGGCTAAAACATATAAGGAACGGCTGCTGGAATTGGGTATGTCTAGTTTAATGAAGAGAAGGACGAGGGGGGACATGATAGCAGTGTTCCAGTATCTCAGGGGCTGCCCCAAAGAAGAGGGAGTCAAGCTATTCTCCAAGGCGCCTGAAGGCAGGACAAGAAGCAACAGATGGAAACTCATCAAGGAGAGAAGCAACCTAGAACTAAGGAGAAACTTCCTGACAGTTAGAACAATTAACCAGTGGAACAACCTGACTCCAGAAATGGTGAATGCACCAACACTGGAAGTTTTTAAGAAGAGACTGGACAGCCATTTGTCCGAAATGGTATAGGGTTTCCTGCCTGAGCAGGGGGTTGGACTAGATGACCTCCAAGGTCATTTCCAACTTTCACACTATTATTATTATTATTAGGTAACCTACTAGGGCAGGGGTCCCCAATCTCCGGTCCGTGGACCGGTATTGGTCCGCAGCATGCCAGCAACCGGTCCCCACAAACAACCAAAGCCCCATTCGTGGGATACAGGCAGCACAAATATGAGTCAGTTGCCAAGCGTCTGAATTTGGATCACGTGACCCCCGAGGGAGGCTGCAACGGTCGTTAACTGTGAAAAACGGTCATAAGTCGCTTTTTTTAGTGTCCATGTAACTTCGAACGGTCACTAAATGAACTGCTGTAACCCGAGGACTACCTGAAGTCACGAAGCTAGGTACTTCCTGCCTCCTGTACTTCTCTCTTGCTCTCTTTTTTAGAGTTTTATTGGTTTATAACATACAATGCAATCGAAATACAAAGCAAATAGCAGGAAAGACGGGGAAGGAAAAAGGGAGGAGAGAAGTGAGGTAAGGGAGAAAAAAAAGGGGGAAAAAGGCATTGACTTCCAACTTCCTTTGGTGCAATAGATCAGGGCTTTTCAACTTTTTCAACAGGGAGGAGTAATTCTGGCAGGGTTATCCTAACAGGCAGCACTTGTAGGAGAGAAAGGATCACCTTCTGGGTTCCAACATTTAGACAGACAACCTGCAGCTCTCCAATCTTCTGGATTCCCCATTTGTTGGTGCTGGGCAGTGTATCAGTGACAAGGAACTGTGGGAGGTCCCGAACATCCTTTCGTCACCCTGAGTTTGTATCAGGGGTCTCCAAACCTGGCAAGTTTAAGACTTGTGGACTTCAGTTCCCAGAATTCCTCAGCCAGCAGGAAGTTGGAAGTTGACACTCACAAGTCTGCCACGTTTGGAGACCCCTGGTCTATATCAGGGCTTTTCAATCTTTTCACCCATTGTGCCACTTTTAGGATATGACAACATCCGAGTACCACCAGTCGCCTAGCAAGGTGTCAAAAACTTGATGACCAAAAAAAAAAAAAAAGGAAAAAAGTGATGAAGTACAGGTAGTCCTCGACTTACAACATTTCGCTTAATGACTGTTCGAAGTTACAATGGCACTGAAAAAAGTGCCCCCCAAGCCACAACCGAGCAAGACACCTGCCTGCCCACCCGGTGGCGCTCTTCCTCCTGTCCGAGGTTTTCATTGTAAGCATTTCTGTTGAGGATTGGCAGCAGGGGTGGGGAGGGGGGTGTTTGGTTTTTATTCCCCCACCCCATCTGCTGGGTGATTGCAGCAGGTTTTGGTCACTTCACATGACCCTGGGACACTGTGACCGTCATAAATATGAACCAGTTGCCAAGCATCTGAATGTAAATCACAAGACCCTGGAGATGCTGCAACATTCCAGCTGATTGGTGCTTCTTCTGGGCTCAGTGGAAGCGCCAGGGTCAGCGCCAAGTTCCAGCTGGAACCTGGCGCTGAACCTGGCACTTCCACTGAGCCCTGACAGCCCCAAAGAAGCGCCGATCAGCTGGAAAGCGGCACTGATCCTGGCGCTTCCGCTGAGCCCTGACAGCCCTGCAGCTCCAGCGATCTCTCGCTCAGGCTTGTGCGGTGCTGCCACTGGTTCAGCTCATTCCCCTCCCCTGCTACCACTTTTCTAGGATGGTCGCGTACCACCTGCCAGGTGCCAATGTACCACAGGTGGTACCCGTACCACTGGTTGAAAAGCCCTGCAATAGAGTATCAACTTCAACCCTCCACTTTTCACTGCCTCCTGCACTTCCCAAATTTTACTTTTCTATCCTTTTTTTTCGCCCCACAGCTGCTTCTCACAGCTGGGGAAACCCAAGAAGATTCTCTTCTCGGAACAGAGAAGCTGACAGAACAGAGAAATCTGGGGTCTCAGAATTATACTTCGACGCAGGACATTACAACTGGAGAAAGAGAAAGAATGTGGGCCTTCGGACACTCACCGTCAATAGGCTGAGCAGCCCCATCATCACTCCGAGCATGATGTACAGATTATCCGTCAATCCCCCGGCCCACAGAGGCCCAAGGATGGTGGCAATTCCCCCAACAGAGCGACGGAGTCCGTGGCTGAACCCTGCCAAAGAAGGAAAAAAACGAGAGAGAAATAAATCCTGCTATACAGGGGAGTCCTCAAACTTACCATCAAAAGTGAGCCCAGAATTCTTGTTGCTAAGCAGGACGGTTGTTAAGTGAGTTTTGCCCCATTTTACGACCTTTCTTGCCACAGAGGCTAAGTGAATCGCTGCAGCTGTTATGTGACTAACGCCGGTTCTTACGTGCATCTGGCCTCCCCATTGACTTTGCTTGTCAGAAGGGTGCAAAAGGTAATTACAGGACCCCGGGATGCTGCAAACAGTCCTAAATTTGAACTGGTTGTATCCAACTGTAAATCGCATGATTTCTGGGAGTTGAAGTCCACAAGTCATAAAAGATAGCCAAGTTTGAAGACCCCTGGCCTTATCCTTCAGCATCCTTGAGCATAGCCAAGAGAGGGCTTGTTGTCTTCTAAGGCAGGGCTTTTCAACCTTTTCACCCATTGTACCACTTTTAGGATATGACAACATCCGAGTACCACCCGTCGCCTAGCAAGGTGTCAAAAACTTGACGACCAAAAAACAAAAACAAAAAAGGAAAAAAGCGATAAAAGTACAGGTAGTCCACAACTTACAACAGTTCGCTTAGTGACTGTTCAAAGTTACAATAGCACTGAAAAAAGTGTCCCCCGAGCCACAGCCGAGCAAGACACCTGCCTGCCCGCCCGGCGGCGCTCTTCCTCCTGTCCGAGGTTTCCATTGTTGTGAACATTTCTGTTGAGGATTGGCAACGGGGGTGGGGTGGGGGAGTGTTTGGTTTTTATTCCCCCCGTCTGCTGGGAGGTTGCAGCAGGTTTTGGTCACTTCACATGACCCTGGGACACTGTGACCGTCATAAATATGAATCAGTTGCCAAGCATCTGAATGTAAATCACAAGACCCTGGAGATGCTGCAACATTCCAGCTGATCGGTGCTTCTTCTGGGCTCAGCAGAAGCACTAGGACCAGCACCGAGCTCTGGCTGGGGCCTGGCACTGATCCTGGCGCTTCCGCTGAGCCCTGACAGCCCTGCAGCTCCAGCCGTCTCTCGCTCAGGCTTGTGCGGTGCTGCCACCGGTTCAGCTCATTCCCCTCCCCCGCTACCACTTTTCTAGGATGTTCGTGTACCACCTGCCAGGTGCTAATGTACCACAGGTGGTACCCGTACCACTGGTTGAAAAGCCCTGTTCTAAGGTGGCGCGGTATGAAGAAACACATCAAAGCAGCTTTTGCAACTCTAGAGGCGGGAGTAGCCAACACTTTCGAGAGGAAAGGGAGGTTGGAGAAGATTGGAATCAGGAATGGGGTGGGCTTACCTTGTGTTCTCTCTGCTGTGACTTTGGAGAAGAGGGACACCTGGGAGACAGCGACGAAGGGCAGGCCCAGGACCTGCAAGAAGACCCCCACTACCAGCTCCGTGAGGAGGACAGCAAAGGTACCTTGCGCGGGGGAGGGAGACATAAGCAAAACACGGTAAGGAGAAAGTTCGCAGCAGAGCACAGCAAATTGCACCTCGCTCAAAGCCAGCTTCTTCGACTGGACACCTTCAACTAGCTCTTTGGTGGGTCAACATGTGCTACTGGTCTTCATCACCATCCATGCCAAGATACGGAAAGGGAAAAACCTGCTAAGAAAAACCTTTTAATGCCTATTTGGGCTAAGAGGTGATTACAGGCAGTCCTCAACTTACGGCCACAATTGAGCCCCACATTTCTGTTGTAAAGCGAGACAGCTGTGAAGTGACATTTGATGACCTTCCTTGTCACAGTTGTTAAGTGAATCACTGCAGTTGTTAAATTAGTAACAACTTTCCCCATGGACTTTGCTTGTCGGAAGGTCGCAAAAGGGGATCACACATGACCCAGGGACGCTGCAACCGTCTTAAATATGAGTCAGTGGCCAAGCGTGGGGATGCTGAATGGGGACGCTGAATGGCTGTAAGTGTGAAAAACGATCACAAGTCCCTTTTTTCAGTGCTGCTGTAACTTCAAACAGTCACTAAATGAATTGAGAACTACCTGTGTAGATATGACAATATTCAAGGTTCCTTTTTTTGAGCCAGCAACATCTGACCGTCATCTAGTTTACACTACCGCTGAATTTCTCTTTTGCAGGACAAGGATTTTATAAGAGCTGCTCCCATTGAGGAGACTATAAAACATGAGCTGGTAAATAACAATAACAACAATAACAACAACAATAATAATAATAGTAGTAGTAGTAGTAGTAAAGTTGGAAGGGACCTTGGAGGTCATCAAGTCCAACCCCCTGCTCAGGCAGGAAACTCTATACCATTTCAGACAAATGGCTGTCCAATCTCTTCTTAAAAACTTCCAGTGTTGGAGCATTTACCGCTTCTGGAGGCAGGTTGTTCCACTGGTTAATTGTTCTGTCAGGAAGTTTCTCCTTAGTTCCAGGTTGCTTCTCTCCTTGATGAGTTTCCATCCGTTGCTTCTTGTCCTGCCTTCAGGGGCTTTGGAGAATAGCTTGACTCCCTCTTCTTTGGGGCAGCCCCTGAGATATTGGAACACTGCTATCATGTCCCCCTTCGTCCTTCTCTTCATTAAACTAGACATACCCAATTCCAGCAGCCGTTCCTTATATGCTTTAGCCTCCAGTCCCCTAATCATCTTTGTTGCTCTTCTCTGTACTCTTTCTAGAGTCTCTACAACTTTTTTACATCGCGGTGACCAAAACTGGATGCAGTTTTCCAAGTGTGGCCTTACCAAGGCCTTGTAAAGTGGTATTAACACTTCACGTGATCTTGATTCTATCCCTCTGTTAATGCAGCCTAGCACTCTGTTGGCCTTTTTGGCAGCTGCAGCACACGGCTGGCTCCTATTTAGGTGATTGTCCACTAGGACTCCGAGGTCCCTCTCACAGTTACTACTATTGAGCAAGGTACCCCCTATACTATACCTGTACATTTGGTTTTTCTTGCCTAAATGTAGAACCTTGCTTTTTTCACCATTGAATTTCATTTTGTTAGATAGCGCCCAGTGTTCAAGTCTGTCCAGATCCTCCTGTACCCTAAGCCTGTCTCCTGGAGTGTTGGCTATTCCTGCCAGCTTGGTGTCGTCTGCAAATTTGATGATTTCCCCATCTATCCCCTCGTCCTAATCAGCCAGCTGCTATAAAGAGGGAAATGTTCTCTTGAGGTACACAAACAGAAATAAGAGTAATTGAGGAATTATCTACTCGGCCCTGATGAAACCTTTTGTGCAACTCTGGCTCACCACAGTTCAAAAGGAAAATTTACAGATTGGAGCAAGTTCAGAGGAGACCTACTAAGAATGTGTAGTGGTCTGGAAACCCAGCTCCACAAGGAATAGTTAAAAGAATCTGGGTATGTTTGCCTATTAGGAAAGACAACTCGACAGAGATGAGGCAGCTGTATTTCAAATATCTAAAAGGTGGCCACAAAGAAGAAAGTGTGGACATTTTGATTACCCCGGAGGGCAAGACTAGATCCGTAGGTTGAAACTACAAGGAAGAAGGTCCAGGCTAGTCACTGGGAGGAACGTCCTGATGGTATGAACTCTTAACCAGAAATGTTGCTTTGTGATATATAGTTTTCCTCTAGTCTAGAGCAGTGTTTCTTAACCTTGGCCGTTTTAAGAGGTGTGGACTTCAACTCCCACAATTCCCCAGCCATCCATGGGAAAGCATGGAGTTTGAAGCCCACACTTCTTAAAAGCCCCCAAGGCTGAGAAACACTGCTCTAGAGCAGGGGTCCCCAATCTTGACAACTTTGAGACATGTGGACTTCAACTCCCAGAATTCTTGTATAAGTAGACGAGTTGGGAGTTGAAATCCACGTGTCTTAAAGTTGCCAAGCTTGGGAATCCCTGCTCTAGAGGCCTCAAGCAGACTCCTGATAATCCTCTGTCAGAGGTGTTAGTGGATCCTGGACAGTTCCTTATAGCTCTGTGTCTGTGGGGGTCCTTGGTGCATTCTGTCTTTCGTTGCTACCGTGTTTCCCTGAAAATAAGACCGGGTCCTTTTTTTTTTTTTTGCCTCCAAAAGAGGCACCAGGTCTTATTTTTGGGGTAGGCCTTACCTCACCTCCGGCACCGACAGCCCCACCCAGCCGGTCCACTTCTTCTGGGGCCGAAGTTCTGCAGCTACATTCGGGCCTGCATTTTGCAGTCAGGCCTTTCCAGAAGGCCTAAGCAGCTGAGTACCGAGTTATGGATTCAATCCATAACTCGGTGCTCGGCTGCTGAGATCTTGTACAACTTGAGGTACAGATTGAATCCATAGCTCGATTCTTGGCTGCACAGGCCTTCTGGAAAGCCCCATGATTGAGAAATGCAGGCCTGGCTACAGAAGAGGCCTCAGAAGAAGTGGGCTGGCGAGGAAAGGCCTGGCTGCAAGATAAGTGGGTGCTGGGTACGTGAGGCAGCTCCACACCCTCACCCCAGCTTAATTTTTAGGTTTGTGCCTCGCCCCAAAACTAGGGCTTATTTTTGGGATAGGGCTTATATTAGGCCCACCCCCCAAAATCAAGCTAGGGCTTATTGTTGGTGTAGGCCTCACTTTCGGGGAAACACGGTAGCAGTCCCAAAGGTGCTTTTTCCAAGAGGCAACTGGACTTTATTTTTTCCTTGAAGACGTTTCGCTTCTCGTCCAAGAAGCTTCTTCAGTTCTGACTGAATGGTGGAGGAGGGAAGGTTTTATATTCCATACAGTCATCTGGTCGTTAGCCCTCTTTCTGAGAGTCATTGAGGCCACGTGGAGGTGTATCTGTGCCCTCAGGGTCACCTGAATCAGAGTGCAAATGAGTGTGGAACTTTTTTGGATCTGTTGAAAGGACTGTGTTGTAGAGAGGAGATGGCTGGTGTCATATCCCTCCCCTCCCCCCCCCCCAATTAAGAGAGGGCCATTTAATCTTAACGTAAATGGCCTCTTTGACCCCTCTTTCAAACCAGCGATCCTCTCTGTCCAGAATGTGGACTTTTGAAAAAAAGCACCTTTGGGACAATCACGATCTGGATGACTAAGAATCTCCATAGACCTTTGGTGGCTGGCACTGATGATGTCACCTAGCTGGGTAATGAAATGTCCGCAAGAAAACAACCAAGTCCAGTCAGCACCAAGAACCCCACGGTTCAACCTTGAGTTACAAATATTCTCTTCTACTAGATCTCTGTGCCTCCAGGGCATCAAGAGGTCAGGAACTGAGAAGATGTAGAGAAGAACCCTTCACGCTTTTCTCCGGCAGTCTGCCATCATTACCTCGGGGGTGTGCCAGGAACAGCAGGCACCAGACACAGGCTACGTTGCAGATGACCAGACCCATGAGCAAGATGATCCGATCTGATAGCCGGATGCTGAGAAAGTGCACCAGGAAGAAGCCAGCAATGACCTGAAAAAGAAGAGGCAGCACACTGATGGTGTAATCGGACCCTGTGTGGGCAGTGACTCTCACAGCCTGCTTCCAGGTTGTCAATCAAAGAGATCAGGAATTATTCCAGAATCTTTCTGCATTCAAAGGAAGGGCTTGCCTCTGAATGGCTCCCCTTGTCCACTAACCAAAGGACTTGGTTTTGTGTGCATGACACAGCTTGTCATGCAAACCCATCCCATTAGGTTGATTTATTTTATTCATCAAATTTTGAAACCGTCCATCTCCCTCCCTCCATTCAGTTTATGCGGAAATGGATTAAGGAGACTCGAAAAATTTAGATTAATTCAGTAAACAGTTTAATTGGGTTATCTGGATACAGCCCAAATCATGAGATGGACACTGAAATTTAATTGGTGGCCGAGGCCTTCATTTTGACCCACAGAAACATCAACTGGAGGGGGGGGAGAAGAGAGAGAGAGAGATTCTAAAACAGGTTCCTACTGGTATTTATACTACAAACTCACAACCCCACTTTCTCAAAAGGTTTGCCAGGTTCCTATCTTATTTAAAAACCTGCCAAACCTGTTTTACCAGAGGCAGGGCAGAGCAAAATTAGCATCACACATTAACCATATTAAAAATTTCTCTCCCGAATCATTTTTAGCTCCTAGTGACTGCTGTCTATCAACAGCCAAAAATCAGGTTTTATTTATTAGACATGTTTGCCACCCATCTCGCCTAGAGGCAACTCTTTTAAGAGGGAGAGATAAGGAGAAAGATGATGCATTGCTTCAGTTTGACATGGAAGAGGTCCATTGGAAGACCTGGCAATGGGGACTCAGCCCCCCCCCCATCTCCATGTAATGGCAGGTGGGGGAAAGACCCTGGGAGAATGGGCGGGGAGAGACCGCCAAGGAAACAGTCAGAGAAGAGGCAGCATAGCTCAAAGATGGATACAGGTTGTCCTTGACTTATCACCACAATTTAGCCCATCATTTCTCTTGCTAAGCGAGACGGTGGTGCAGTGTGTTTTGCTCCATTTTATAACCATTCTTGCCACAGTTATTAAGTGAATGAGTGCCATTGTCAATTCAGTAACACGATTGTTAAATGTCTATGGAGATTCTGGAAACTGATCAGAGAGAGAAACAGCCTGGAATTTAGGAGAAACTTCCTGACAGTGAGGACAATCGACCCAATCGATCACTGGAGATTTTTAAGAAGTGACTACTAGACAATCACCTGTCTGAGATGGTATAGGTTCTCCTGCTTGAGCAGGGGGCTGGACTAGAAGACCTCCAAGGTTCCAACACTATTCTCTTCTCTTCTCTTCTCTTCTCTTCTCTTCTCTTCTCTTCTCTTCTCCTCTCCTCTCTTCTCCTCTCCTCTCCTCTCCTCTCCTCCCCTCCCCTCCCCTCCCCTCCCCTCCTCTCTCTCCTCTCCTCTCCTCTCCTCTCCCCTTCCATTCCATTCCATTCCATTCCATTCCATTCTATTCTCAGTTATCCAGATCATGGTTGTCCCAAAGGTACTTTTTCAAAAGGCAACTGGACTTCCTTTGTTTTTCCTTGAAGATGTTTCGCTTCTCATCCAAGAAGTTTCTTCGGTTCTGATTTAAGCTCTGGTCCCTCTTAAGTGAAATATTTATTATGTGGGTTTTGCCCCCATTTTGCGAACTTTCTTGTCACAGCTGTTATGCAAATCACCGCAGTTGTTAAGTTAGTAACGTGGTTGTAAAGTGAATCTGACTTCTAGCCCTTAGACTTATATATCCCACTGCGCCACCACCGATACTTGTAATGGGCAGGGCAAGAGGGTCTGAAGAGACCCTGCCTAATTTCTTGGATTGTAAAAAGAGACGTGTGTATGGGGGAGGGGGGAGAGGGGGGGGAGGAGAGAGAGAGATGTACTTTCATACTTGCAAGGCCCTATCAACGTAGCTTTGCAACGAAGTAGAATTACCTCCATCCGGTCATGATTCCTACCTGCTTTACCTGGTCAGGCCGACGCTCTCCCTTATTAAAGTGGAACGGTGAGCAAAATCTCCTGTAACACACAGGCTGCTCAGTTACAGTGTCACCCCTTTTCACCCTTACCTCCACACCACACAGGAAATACATGATGCTGTTCTCCAGTTCTCCAAAGTTCAAATACTTCTGTGTAATTGGAGTCACCATAGTCTGTAGAGGAAAATTAACACAAGTTCCAGGTGGTTCACCTACTCTTAGAATGACCTCCAAACACTACGAGCAGCAGCTTTCAATACACTAAACGCCGGGGTTTCCATTCTGAACCGTTCAACTTCTGAGTCTTCCGAATGAGGATGAAGGAACTTGGTCTGGGGTACCTCGGGGCAGAGAAAGGTGGGCTATATCAAGGCTGTCCTTTCTGGCTGGGGAATTCTGGGAGTTGAAGTCCACAAGTCTTTAAAGACCGGACATCCCTAATGTATATTGGTTGATACATACGATGCACACAAAACCAGCGATAGCAATAACACTTAGATTTATATACCGATTCACGGTGCTTTACAGCCCTCTCTAAGCGGTTTACAGAATCGGCATATTTCCCCCCCAAAATCTTGGTCCTTATTTTATCAACTTTGGAAGGATGGACGGCTGAGTCAACCCTGAGCCAGTGAGACTCGAAGTGCCGAACTGCTGGCAGCCGGCAGTCAGCAAAAGTAGCCTGCAGTACTGCATTTGAACCACGGCGCCACAACGGTTGTCAAAAAATGAGGAGGCTTTGACCACACAGTCGCAACCACCATTGTGATTTTTTTTTTCAAGAAGTCCGACCCCTTATCCATCAGTTTGTATCTTTTGAAAAGTTGATCAATGAAAGTTGGGAGTGGCTTTGAAGCACGAAGGGAGAAATTCCCAGCTAAGCTGAAATGGAACTGGATAGTTTGGGGCGGTTTAGGGTGTTGTGAAAAGTAGCTAATGTCTTAAGGTTGGGTTGAACTGGGCCATCACATTAAGTTTGACTGGGCTGGGTGATTCTGGCCCAATCGCCTCAATCTAAGCCATCTCGCAGTTGTGCGGAAACGAAAGAGAAGCAATAAATTGTAAAGATTGTCCAGGAGGTTCTAGATCAGGGGTGTCCAACCTTGGCAAATTTCATATTTGTGGACTTCAACTCCCAGAATTCCTCAGCCAGCATCGCTGGCTGAGGAATTCTGGGAGTTGAAATCCACAAGTCTTAAAATCGCCAAGGTTGGACCCCCTTGTTCTAGATCATCCAGTCCACCGTTTTTCAAACTTGGCAACTTCAGAACAGGTGTGGACTTCCACTCCCAGAATTCCTCATCTGAACAGTTGCCATGTTTGAAACGCACCGATGTAGTTCCAACCCTCTCCTCAGTGCAGGAATGCTTAAATACTTGTTCTGCGAAGACAAAAATCACACTTTAATCAACCTAGCTGTAGGGCCTAGTGCGGGGGTGGGGAACCTTGGCTCTTTTAGGACTCGTGGACTTCAACTCCCAGAATTCCTGAGCCAGCATGGCTCAGCTTGGAAACCTCTCCCTTTCCCCTCAGCATGGCTGGCTCAGGAATTCTGGGAGTTGAAGTCCCCGAGTCATACAAGAGCCAAGGTTGCCTACCCCTGGCCTAGTGTGTTGGGTGAAGTCAGACAACCTATCCCACACAGCTCCCCCCTAACTTGCCCCCCTTCATCCTTGAAGACAATCCCCTTTTTTCCTCACGTTCTCTTGCCTGGACCCTCCAGATCTAAGCAAGAGGAGCTGGCACTAACCATCCACCTTCTTGCTTCCAGAATGTGACAATGGAAGCCGAAGGAAGGACATGCAGAAAAGCTCCACTTTCTGCTTTTAGATCTACGAAATGAGCCCGGGGTCAATGCACAAGCAGACCTACCTCCAACGCCGTTTGGTTGAAGAGGGTAATGAACTGGGCGGTGAGGAGAACCACCACTTCCTCCCGCAAGTATTCTGAAATGAAAACACAACCACCATCAAAATCTGGAAGAGCTTCCTTGAGGCTGAGGAGGCAGGAGGCCCTTTTTACTCGGGGGGGAGGGGGGGGCGGAGAGAAATGAAGGGTTAATCATAAAACTGTCCCTCCGGGTGTTTTTTGGGAGAACTCTACTTGGGATAGTTCAAGGTTCTCTTTCTGGCTGGATACACACACACAACCCTCTGAATCAGGCTAACAAAAGACCCTGGGTGAACTTTGTTAGGGAGTTCTCAAGTTTAGTGCAATGTGCGAGCTTTGCTTATCTGGTTAGCTTATGGTTCAATCTAGTGGACAATCACTTAAATATGAGCCAGCCGTGTGCTGCAGCTGCCAAAAAGGCCAACACAGTGCTGGGCTGCATTAACAGAGGGATAGAATCAAGATCACGTGAAGTATTAATACCACTTTACAATGCCTTGGTAAGGCCACACTTGGAATACTGCATCCAGTTTTCATCACTATGATTTAAAAAAGATGTTGAGACTCTAGAAAGAGTACAGAGAAGAGCAACAAAGATGATTAGGGGACTGGAGGCTAAAACATATAAGGAACGGTTGCTGGAATTGGGTATGTCTAGTTTAACGAAGAGAAGGACGAGGGGGGACAGGATAGCAGTCTTCCAGTATCTCAGGGGCTGCCACAAAGAAGAGGGAGTCAAGCTATTTTCCAAGGCGCCTGAAGGCAGGACAAGAAGCAACGGGTGGAAACTAATCAAGGAGAGAAGCAACCTAGAACTAAGGAGAAACTTCTTGACAGTTGGAACAATTAACCAGTGGAACAATCTGCCTCCAGAAGCGGTGAATGCACCAACACTGGAGGTTTTTAAGAAGAGACTGGACAGCCATTTGTCCGAAATGATATAGGGTTTCCTGCCTGAGCAGGGGGTTGGACTAGATGACCTCCAAGGTCCCTTCCAACTTTACTATTATTATTATTATTAAGGTTCTCTTTCTGGCTGGATACACACACACAACCCTCTGAATCAGGCTAACAAAAGACCCTGGGTGAACTTTGTTAGGGAGTTCTCAAGTTTAGTGCAATGTGTGAGCTCCGCTTATCTGATTAGCTTATGGTTCAATCTATTACCTGGATGCCAAATCAGTTAATTCGGTAATTGAAGTCATTGTAGGAGGAAAGCCATGTTGGTCTACGGCAGCCAAAACGTTCTTCCACATTTGCACTGACTTTCAGTAATTGAATTGCTTTACGTACTAAGCTACTGTTATTTTTAATCTGGGTTAGCTGTCTCATTTATCTTATTGTATTTTACTGAAGCTAACTTACCTGGTTCAATATATTAACAGAAAAATAGAAAATTACAGAATTCGGTCTAGCGGCAACGTGGAAGACTGCTGTGATTGCGAGGATAATAAGAAAATTATGAAATTATGAAAATTACTCGTAATAAGGAAAGTCTAGACGTTTAGAGCTCATCCTGAGACAGCCTGCTTGTTTTTCACTCTTTGCTTTGGAAGAAGAGAAATAACTTCACACAGTTTCGTATTTTTTCTCACTGTGAAAATCTCAGCCTTTCCCATCTCAGAGTCATATACCAGCCACCAAAGTCAGGTTGTGCAGTGTCCTGACTGTAGCAGGGCCATGAAGTCATGGTGCCAGGTTTCAATAAAACTCTGTGTGTGTGTGTGTGTGTTGTTATTAGTTGGGAGCTTCAGAATGGAACCTAGCACTAGTTACTGTAGAAACTGGTCACTCGGGGGTATCTCTGCTGCCCTTATTAAAGAGCTCCTGGCAGCCTATAAGACATTTGGGTATAACCTTGCCTGGTGAGGTGTGCTTTTCACGTTGTGCTTTTTAACCCCGTTTGCTTGAGCTAATACTAACGCTTAAAATCCCTTTTATTTCCTGGAGTGTTCATTGTCTCTGGATCGAAAAGAATCCATTGCCTGGGCATCTGATCCCTGCACTGACACTTGGCAAAACGTTCAGTAACCAGATCAGTCTATTTGTATGAATCCGTCTCTATCACAAAAGCTATCACCCTACCCCACCTGGAGATTTGAAAGTACTTTTTCGTGCGATGCTAAGCATTAGAATTATTCTGTATTTAAGACAAGAGACAAAGCAAATTTGGGGTTTCCTTAATTCTTGGGCATGTGCCTTTGTAGAGGATAATAGGAGTTTGGTGATTATGCGATACAGAGGTATTTACAAGGAGACAGTATGGCTAGAGGTAACACGAATGACACAGGAAGTGCATAGGACCAAAATGGATGCCCTTTCTGGTGGGCTAGTGGTTGATTTAAGGAGTAATGCGCGTGCCTTATCTCTTACCATCAAAATTAGACTATTTAGCCCAATTGTAAGGGAAATTTTCAGAAAACTTTCTAGAATAGGTGGATTTCACCTCTGCAAGGCTGATGCATCCATTTTACCTTTTAAACATCTCAAAAGACAAACAGGTCAAAAGCCCCCTTACTCCTACTCTGTAGGTCACAGAAAAAAAAGGGTGCAGAGAAGAGCTACAAAGATGATTTATAGAATCGGAAGCTAAACCATACGAGGAACGATTGAGGGAAATAGATATGTCTATTGTAACAAAGAGAAGGACCAGGGGTGACAAGATAGCAGTCTTCCAGTACTTCAGGGGCTATCACAAAGAAGAGGGAGTCAAGCTATTCTCCAAAGACTCCCAAGGCAGGACAAGAAGCAATGGATGGAAACTTACCAAGGAGAGATACATGCTAGAACTAAGTAGAAATTTCCTGAAAGTGAGAAAGAATTAATCAGTGGAACGGCTTGCCTTCAGAAGTTGTGGGTGCTCCATCACTGGAGGTTTCTAAGAAGAGATTGGACAGCCATTTGTTTAGATAGAGACTCTCCTGCTTGAGCAAGGGGTTGGGCTAGAAGACCTCCAAGATCCCTTCCAACCATTATTCCATGTTCTAGGTTCTAAAAAGGGTCCACCTGCTGGCCGCCAGCCTGGGCAACTATGACCTCACCAGTTCCTGCCATAAGCGAAGGTGTTCCTCACCTTTCATAGAGCTAAATTGATGGAAGGGATTCTTGTCTTCTTCAGCTGATTCTTCATCTGCCAAGTGTCCATTGGGCACATACCGACATTCGTCGCCAAGGGAAGGTTGCGGAGGTCCCACAGGGGTGCTGCCATAGCAGGTCCCTCCCGTGGCCTCTTCTCGGCCAACCTCATGTCGTATCAGTGGCTTCTGCTCCTCTTCCAAGGCCTCCCGCTGCATCGTCGATATGGTCCTTGCCGTGTGAGCCGGTGGCTGGATGTCATAGTACATCACCATCACAATCACTTGAAGCAGAATCCACACCAGACACATGAAGAGCTGCCGACAGAAGTCAAGAGCAGAGAACAAAATGGCAAAAATTTCCGCATACTTGAAGGATCAATCTCAAAAAAATTTTATTTCGGTGTGGAGAAGATGGATAGATTATATGAAGAGAAAGTATGAAGCGATTAATTATCATATAGCTTTTGAATAAATATTTTTTTCTAATATTTTTTATATATTTAATATAATTTATATATATATATTATATTTAAGTTTATTATTGTATGTTAGAGTTAAAGTATGTTAATTTTGTTTGTATTATGAATGGATAGCTTAATTTAGA